TTCTAATGTACACAAGAAAAAAGAAACTAAAATACAGGCATATTATAGGTAGCAATATGAGCCTTTCTCCCAACCAGAAATGGAAAGAAACAAAACTCCTGTGAAAGAAGCCTTTTTCTCAATACAGGATTTGAGTGTTTCCCGTACACCCTCATGTTTAGTATGTGTATAACATTGTGAGTGATCCTTTTAATAGATTTAAGATAAGTTTTGATACCATCTTAAAAAAGTGGTTTAGGCCTAACTGAACCCAACAAAAACTCACTTTGTGAGGTGAGGATTGTCCGCACTTATATATTGTGTTTTGGCATTATCTCTAATCAATGTGAGATGTGGATTTTTCCCAATAGAGAGAATGTAACAGTTTTGTCCATAAAGGAAAGTTAACTTCAGCAACACTGTAACAAGTCCCACATTGGGGAGGCCTCCTTACCAGGGAGGCCTTATAAGGTAGGAGGTTCTCCAACCTCTTGAGCTAGCTTTTGAGGGATGGTTCCCCTCTTAGCCTTATGGTTGTTTCAATGGTGCTTTCATTGAGAGTCAGCCAACTCGAGAAGGGCTACCCACGGAGGGTTCTGACCGCCGGAGGGTTCTGACCACTGGAGGGTTCTGACCGGTAAGAAGGCCGAGTAAAGTGCTAGTGAGTGAAGTGCCGGTGAGTGAAGTGTCGTGGAGTGCAGCCATCGAGGACGCTGGCTTTCGAACGGGGTGGTATTGTAACAAGTCCCACATTGGGGAGGCCTCCTTACCAGGGAGGTCTTATAAGGTAAGAGGTTCTCCAACCTCTTGAGCTAGCTTTTGAGGGATGGTTCCCCTCTTAGCCTTATGGTTGTTTCAAACACACCTTTCTCAAGCAGCGTTCACCAAAGTGTCAGAAAACAAGGAATTACTTGAGAAAAGATTACCGATTCAAAAGGTGATATACAATTGGCTTGCTAAGTAGCATTTCTCGCTCCCTGGCTGCTTCCTCTGATGTGGATGACTCTGAGGTCCAAATTTCTTGTAAGGCAGATAAACAATTTGCAACTACCTGATCAAGAAAACATGACCATGTATATACACACGTAAAGTACAATATATTTGGTGATTGCTGTTGTCTTAATTTTTTGAAACAGGAAGACTATTGTCATTCTGATATATAGGTGAATAACAACTGAAAAGCAATAAGAACAAAAAATTAATACATACATTCACACCCATACACATATAGTTGCAGGGTTTCATAATAATAATAATCATAATAGTAATAATGCTAAAAACAGCTAGCATGGACATCATAATAAAGCATTTTAACTAGAAAAAATAAACAAAATGAATTCATTTTTTTAGTACGAGTACAAGTATTATACCAAAAATCATAGAAGCAAACAAAAAATCAATAAAATGAGACCTCAAGGGCATTAAATAGTGATTACTCGAGGAAATTGCACTGTCACATTGAATTCAATCAAAACATTGGTTTGAATCAAATTGATAAAATAAAAAAGTTATCCCTTTAACAAAACTGATTTTTAGTATATTAATGTTGTGCAGGTATCCTAATCAAATTATGATCAGTCCTATGCAAGCTCTTATATTTTTTTGAGTTACAAGTTTCGTACATCCTCCTCTTATCAGGCATTATTTATGTACTTGTAAATGCCCAAAGACATCATACAGGGACACTAACCTAATTCAAGCTAAAAATCATTTGGAAATGGAATGAAAGAAACCTAATCAAAATCACGCATTTTTTAGTTTTTAAACAGCCCATTTTCTTGCAATTCATTAAGCATTGGACAATTTGGATCATCCTGATTCTAAGTGAAACTCTTATTTCTTAACAAAATTAAACAGTACTGTTATGATTTTATCTTAGGTTGATGATGAAATTTCCATACAAATTGAATCGTCACCTGAGTATCAGGGTCATTAAGCATCAAATGTTTCAGTGTTGCTGGAAAATCTGCATCAATACATGTGGAAGCTGATATATGATACAGTTTCAAAACCCCAATGACTGCCACCATCCTGACATAACTATTATTGTCCTTCAACCCGGACCCTAATGGCCCTACCAAATATTCCACCAAATTTGCCACACGGAGTGAGCACAAACTCCTCAATGCTAGTCCCCGAATCATTGGATCCTCATCCTTGCAATCTCTTTGGAGAAAATTAATTGTCAAAAGTGCAAGATCAGGATTGACCTTCGCATAGTTCCCAACATATAAATAACACATTTTTTTCAGAACAATGTCTGATGTCGCAGAGCACATTACCATCTCGCCAAAGAGAGACGAGACATCAATACCAATAGTCATGTTGGAAATCACCTTCTTGAAGAGATCCCTCTTAGAATCGTCAGCACCCGGAGCTCGGCTCCCAGCAAGCTGCCGGAGCTGTGATTTCAGATCGGAGACTTCACTCTTCCTGATTAAATTAAACAATACGTCAGTACTTGATGTAAAGATATCACACCACAAGGAAAATATAATCAGCCTCGTGGACAAAAATATGGGATATTTACAAGGACAAAAATTAAATATAATTTCTTATGCTTGTTTTCCAATCAATATTAGAATTTCACCTCAATAATCTACAAATAAAGGTTTGCATTAGATGTCAACATAGATCACTGAACCGAAACTTCAATTTCGAATGGAAAACAACACCAAAAGCACCTAAGCAACAGCATCTAAGCTTTCACCAGTTAATAACCAAGAGCTCGTTTTGGGTTAAAAAAAAATAAAAAATAAAAAACTTTAAAAAGGGCTTAAAAGCTAATGTACCAACTCAATGTAGTTAACTTAGCCCTTTCCCCATTCCAGAAACAAGTTTCCGAAATAGAAAAGATAACGCAAGTGGATGAATCCGTGAGAAACTATGCTATGCGTGCCATCTAGTTCGGTCTGAAGAACTCAACTACTTAAGTAATAACACACGAACACAGTAGATTTCACAATTGTACGCCAAATAGGACAAAACTAAACGGCAATGGATCTCCCATGTAATGATAACCAAGCGAACTGCGCATTCAAACATTTGAAGGCATGCTGCGAGATAAAACCAAAACATGCGAAAATTCGTATTTGTCTGAAACCAAACGGCGGCAATTGCAATGCAATTGCTGCCGTAGATGAGTCCAAATTCAAATTTGTGCAACATTCGAATAAAGAAAGAGACAGTAAGAAAGAAGAAAATGAAGACGCAGGAAAGATGGATTAGGGAACTGACCCTGACGGTTGCGACGGTGACGGCGACCGATGAGACTGCGGCGGAGGAGGAGCCATGGCCACTGAAAGTTGAGTAGAATGACCACGCACACGATTAGATCGCCCCTTTGTTTCTTCTGAGAAAGTGAGATCTAAACAAGGAAGATAGAATAGTGATCGGTAATTGTAGCTGAAGTGCTGATTGAGCTTGTGAATTTTTTCTTCATAACAAAAATGGAATTGGGATTTGGTGAGATGAAAATGGAAACTATTACTATTAGAGACATACCAGAAACCATAATAAAAAATAAATAAATTGGACTGACAGATACACTTTCGACGTATGAGAAGCTGAAGTGGCGAGATCTGATTGCTTTGGTCTTCTCTCTCTCTCATTTCTATGGCATGTTTTCTAGTAAGAAAAATAAAAAATAAAAATCGAAATTATGCTAAAAAAAATATTAGTAATCATAATAAATAAATAATTGATATTTCACGATACTGTTAATTCAGTATATATATATATATATATATATATATATATATATATATATATATATATAGACAATAGTATCTTAATATCTTTATTAAATATTGTAATGTAGAAAAAAGAGAGGAATATTATTAACTATGAAGTTAGTTTTAAAAGGCAAATGAAATTAAGAAATAAATATTGTTATAAATTAAATTTACCATCTTTTGAATATTGATAATTGGATAATCGAGTCTTGTAAAAAACTGGGAATATTTATTAATTTAAGTTTAAAATTATTACTTTTGGTTAAAAATAAAAATAAAAAAACCTTGAGTCTTAGATGATTATGACATTAAAAAAAAGGTTTTTTTTTATGTGTAATCTTGTTTTAGGGAAAAAAGAAAAATAATTCATTTATATGAAAAAATATAATTGTGGTGAGAGATTCATAAAAGAAAATTAATATTAAAATCTTATAACAAAAGTTTGGACTAAAGGAGTTCTATAAAGTTTATTACTATTCACTTAGTTTAGTTATCATCAAATGATTATTATGAACATATGCAAGAACATAAATTGAATAATTAAGTAATGATTGGTGATATTTTTACAACCAAAAACTATAATACCATTTAAACATCTCACTTTTATTAATATAATAATTACAATCCTTTAAACATCTCATTTTTATTAATATAATAATCTATAAAATGATTGAATAAAAATTAAAGTAAAACTATTATTATAATATTAAAATAGAGATATTTATAGGAATTGTATGAATTTGAGTTGTCAAATATCATTTTCCTTAATTAATCGTACAATCATCCATATAATTTTTTATAGTGAATGTTAAGGAGATTAGAAGAATGACAATTTGATTGTGAATACATAACTATTAGATTTTGTTCTTTTATACAATTTAAAGTTTAAATAATAACAAATTTCAATTAGTTATTTAATGAAAAAATATGTTTTTATCTTTGTTTTTTTAATCATGATATTTGTATTTTCAAATTCATAAATTTAATATAATTTTTTAAATATGATATTTTAATAATTTTAATATTTAATGATTACAGAATTTATAAAATAATTAAATTAATATAATATGTGATTTTAATTTTTTTCATAGTTATAAAATAATAAAAAAGAAATAAATTGACATATTTGTAAATAAACGTTGTTTAAAGTAATGCTGCACATACATTGGAACGGAGTGTCGTTTATTCCTCTGAGAAGATATTTTGATTATTTTCCTTTTTCACAGACCCGTTGATTCCATGACTCGCACACCCTCTTCACTAACCCGATAACCAAAAAACGGTGCAATGGTCCTTCTTCTGCACCTTCCAAGGTTCCCTCTCTTCGTGGTACCTCTCCGAGCCCTCTCCACTTCCTCCAAAACTACCCTTTTGCGGCCACCCAAATCCACTCTCACCACCTCAGAACCCGTGACTGTAACAACCCCTTCCCCAACAGAACTATCGCTCGAAAAGCTCTTCGTTCCGCCGGAGACCACCGTGTCTCTCCACACTGCGAGAGTACTGAACGGTTCCAACATTCTGCTCAGCAACTACGCCAACGACGCTCTGGTCACGCAGGCCGAATTCGTGAAAAGCAGTGTGAAAACCGAAGACTGCCCCTCCGATGGCCTTCCCGAGTTCGCTCTCGTTGGCCGCTCCAACGTCGGCAAATCCTCGCTCCTCAACTCTATCGTGCGCCGCAAGAAGCTCGCCTTAATTTCCAAGAAACCTGGTCCGCCATTCTTCTATTAAACCCCCGTTTTCTATACATAATACAAAGAAAAGTTGTGTTCTCTATGTTAGGCGTGTGTTAATAACGTGTTATATTTGAAATTTACTCGTGTTTAGGCATCTGAACTCTTTTAATGATAGGAAGCAGAGGATTTGAGATATCTTAGATTAGAGTTGGGGTATTTTGGAGGTATGAAGGTATGTAAATTGGATTGGAATTGGACGTAGACAAAGTTAAGCAAGATTTGTAGGGATTAGGCGATGAGTCTGTTTGCATACAGAGCTAGAAGTGCTTTCAAGAGCTTCTTTATTAGCAAAAGCTCTAGATTTCAGTAGAGAAGCTCTCAAAAACACTTATAGCTTGTATCTGAATAGGTCCATTCATGTGTAAAGGACCAAGTAATGGATGTTAAGATGCTGGATATAGAACGCATTCACGGTGAGGGTTAACACATGATAGCAGGATTTTTCACTTATTGCTAATTGGTCTTTTTTTTTCCTCTGCATTATTGAATTATCTGTCTTCTATTTTGCAGGCAAAACGCAATGCATTAACCATTTTCGGATTAATGATAGCTGGTACCTGGTTGATTTGCCTGGATATGGGTATGACTTACGACCATGTGTACTCACTTCTGCTATACTCTCAAAGTTTTGCTTTATGATAAAGATTCTGGACTTAAATGTATCCCATATATTGGAAATGTATACTAATAATATACTTATATCAACAGACTAGTCTACTATGCAGATTTTATTGGATTGCTCAAGTTCTGTTTGAACATTTCTTTTGCGTTAGGCCAGGTTTTTTAAATGCTAGTTTGCACTGTGTTTTAGGACAACTGTTGATGAATATTTTGATCCTGTTCACCATTCTCAAGTCAATAACAATTATTTGCCATCATGTTCTTTTTCATTAGGTATGCATCTGCTCCTCATGAACTTAGAATGGATTGGGAAAAATTCACCAAGGACTATTTCCTGAACCGCTCAACATTAGTTTCAGTATTCCTTCTAATAGATGCTAGCATTCCTGCTAAAAAAATTGATCTTGACTATGCCAGTTGGTTGGGTCAGAATCAGGTAAGTTGTTAAATTTTCTTCATTAGCTGATAATTCAAGGAAGATACGCTTTAGGTTTACATACTACCAATCCTGCATATACTACCTGATCTGACGGTTATGCTTGTGTGGAAGTTTGGCTCACTTTTGTCTTCCTGGCATTTTTCTGTGTACTTGCCCTGACAAGCTACATATTTACTGGTCGAATTTTTTTAGATAATAATTGACTAGCTTATCGGAGTTACTGCCACTTCATCTTTATGTCAAGTAGATAATGTGCGTGCTGAGTAATATGATGTTGAGAATATTACGTTGACTTATGGAAACTGAAATGTTTTAGCAAGATAATTGATAATATCTGCTAGGGGCCTGGCTTTAATCAGCTAGCACTCAGTCATCTATAATGGAGGACAAATAAAATTCAGTAACAACTTATATTGAGAACTCATCTATATAATATGAGGACAAATAAGAATACCGTTACAACTTAATTAGTTATTACAATTTAGCTGATGTCAAGATAGACTTTGAAGAAATTCTGATGTAAATATTCTATTGAAGAGGTCACCCCTAAATGCCAAGCTGTCAAGAGCTGCGTTTTTATTTAAGAGGAATGTTAACAATATGCTCTCTAATTTATGATTTTTTTTTTCATGCGGTATCCATTAAATGAGAAGGGGATAGAGGTACATCGGATAATGGTTCCCACTTGAATTTTACCCTGTAATAGAAGAGTGTGTTTTTAGCATTTTCCCTTAATCCAAATAGGAGCAGTGTCTTGCATTCTCTCCTATGTTATTCATATGTTGAATAGAGTAGTGGCAGCAACTCATTTACACCAAGATGGACAACCATGCTCTAGTATCAATTGATTTACTGGAGAATCCTATCCTGAAGGTCAGGTAAATAAGCCAGGGAGAGCCTCTAGCCCCCTTCTTCTAATGGGAGCATCATAAAGTAGTTATAGTTCATGTCTAGCACTCACCCCTAGCCATATGGAATTCGTCCTGTTTTATTAACAGAACAGAGTTACTAATTTTTTTCAACAGCAAGAGTGGGTTTTTATATGTAGTTTTTCTTTCAGATCCCAATGACAATAATCTTTACCAAATGTGACAAGCGGAAGAAGAAAAAAAATGGAGGTAAAAGACCAGAAGAAAATGTTGATGATTTTCAGGACTTGATTCGAGGTTTCTTCCAATCAGTGCCTCCATGGATCATGACCAGTAGTGTCACCAATCAGGGTCGTGATGAAATACTCCTCCATATGGCCCAGCTACGGAACTATTGGCTTAAGCACTAGTTCTGAGAAACATGGCTTTGTGAGAACAAGTACGTCGATCTTGAATCCTCAAGTGATTATAATTTATTGATGAATTGCTTTATGTTTTCCTTCATGGTGCCAACTGTTAGGAAAGTCTATTTAGCTTTTGATTTAATTCTAAATTCATCCCATATCTCAAGTCTATAGTATTAGCGAAACAGCTTTAAATTAATAACATTTCATATTGTGCCGAAGATTAAAGGAATATTTTATTTCATATTTATCATTGCAGATGCGCGTTTCAAGATAGACTTGCTTGATTGTTTACCCGTTAATATCAATGTATCTATATTGCATGGCGTGCCTTCTCTGTATTGCCCAAGTACCTACAGCCTACAAGGCCTAAAGCTTGTGACATGAAAGCTGGATAAAGAAATCCATCTAGAACAAAGCTCGATACTGTATTACACTATGCCCGCGTGAGGCTCTACTCCCAGCCCGCCTGTACGATTGTTCTAATGAAGTTTGGTTTGTATTTTTACTAATGGTTATAATTTATCACCCTAAAATATAAATGATATTTTTATTCAGGTACCTGGATGCTTCCAAGATTCTCTTGTCATTGATTTTAAAAATCCTATGTAAAAGTTTTTGCCCTCTCCCTTGAAATATCATTTCGTGGAAATCTATAACTTTACATGATGCAGCCATTAAACAGCGCCCATGTAGACACACTTGTAACATTTTTCTCTTCATACGACAGTGGGATGAATGAGATATCAGACATCATTTTTCAATTGCTGTTCTTTATCAAATTTATCAATTATCCGTTATGTTCTCTAGCTGTCCCGAACATAAACAAATATTTAACTATTAGTCAGATAACTCAAGCATGATGAACAGCAGGGACACTTGTTAGAATTACTATAATTAGGTAGCTTTTAGAAGTATTACAAGTGGCTGGTAGAATTAATAGAGGTTAGTATTAGGTGAATTTAAATGTAATTTATAAGTTGTACCTATTTGAATATATATGAGATCATGAGAGTGGTGTGATTAATCTCTCTAAAAATATCTCTTTTTTTAATATTAAGTTGGTATCAGATATATTTTTGGGTTGTTCTAAGCTTCAAAAAGGATGATGGTGTTATTCTCTTTGATCAGACTTTTTACTTTTCTTCATGTGTTCTAGATATCTCTTCCATGCAAGAGGTTTTACCTATACCCACACTTGAGTCCATTATTCCTAGTGATCCAAATCCTAGTCCAACTAATCCTGAACCATCATCATCTCTCACACCTAGGCCCATGCTCCAAGGTCGTTCTTCTTCTTCAAATTCTTCTCAATAAGCAATTCATACCACGACCTCCTGATGTTGATGATCCAGCTTGACCCATTGCCATAATAAAAGGTACTCGATTTACACGCAATCCTCATCCTATTTATAATTTTATGAGTTATCATATAATGTCTCATTCCTATTATTCTTTTCTATCTTTAGTATCTTCTATTTCTATTCCAAAAAATGTGACTAAAGCACTTAATCATCCCGGATGTCGACAAGTTATGATTGTCGAGATGCAAGTTCTTGACCAGAATCACACATGGGAGTTGTGTCTCTTCCACCTGAGAAGAAGATATTTGGATGTCGATAGGTTTATACCATTAAAATTGACCCTAATAGTGAGATTGATTGTCCCAAGACACGATTAGTTGCAAAAGGGTATACATAGATTTATGGCCTTGATTATAATGATACTTTTTCCCCAGTTGCCAAAATGACTACTATTCATCTTTTTTTTGTCATGACATTGGTCTTTTCATCAGCTAGATATTAAAAATGCATTTTTTCACGACAATTTAGATAAAAAAGTTTACATGGAGCAACCTCCTGGTTGTATTGCTCAGGGGAGTCCGGATTTGTGTGTAAGTTACGTCGTTCTCTCTATGGTCTCAAACAATTTTTTAGTCACATTATTCAAACTTTTGGGTTGAAACATAGTGAAGTTAATCATTCAATTTTATATTGTCACACCTCCCCTGAAAAATGTGTTTACTTGATTTTATATGTTGATGATATCGTGATTACAGGAAATGATGTTGCCAGAATATCTCAACTAAAAGAACATTTGTGTAATCAATCACTTTCAAACTAAGGATCTTGGTAGCTTAAAATATTTCTTGGGGATTGAAGTAACTCAGTTAAAAGAAGGAGTTGTTATCTTTCAAATAAAATGTCTCAGATATTCTAAAAGAGACAATCATGGTTGACTGTAGATTAGTAGACAGTCTCATGGACCCAAATCAAAAGCTAATGATAGAACTAGGTGAATTGTTCTCTGATTGAAGTGGGTTGGGAAACTTAGTGACTATCATTAAACTTGATTTGTTTTTTGAAGCGAGTGTTGTAAGTCAGTTTATGCAAGCTCCTTGTACTGACAATTGAAATACTATTATTTGAATTCTAAGGTACCTCATAGAGGTCCCAATACGAGGTCTACTATACAAAGATAAAGGATATACGAAGATAAAGGAGATTCCAAAATCTCTGGATATTGCAATGTTGATTGGGCATGATCCCCCACTGATATGTGTTCTACTACAGGATATTATTTTTCCTTGGAAGAAATATAATTTCATGGAAAAGTAAAAAACAAAATGTAGTAACATGATATACTGCAAAAGCTAAATATCGGGCAATAACTTCTCTTATTTGTGAACTTATATGGGTGAAACAATTCCTTCAAGAACTCAATTTCTGTAATGTCTAAATAATGAAGATGTATTGTGATAACCAAACTGCTCTCCACATTACCTCTAATCCAGTATTTCATGAGTGAACTAAACATATAGAGATTGACTACCATTTTATTCAGGAGAAGTTCTTGTCAAGATTGGTACATAAGGAGTAGGTTGCTTCTAATGAACCAAATCCTTAAGAGGACCCTAGATTGAATTATGTTGTTCCAAGCTTGGAACATATAATTTGTATGCTCCAGTTTATACGGGAATGTTAGAATTATGTAGTTAGGTAACTGTTACAAGTATTACAAGTGGTTGTTATAAGTATTACAAGTGGCTAATATAATTATTAATACAAATTGGTAGTAATTTAATTTAAAAGTAATTTATGAATTGTACCTGTTTGAATTTATACGTATGGGATAATGAAAGTGGAATGATTAACTTTTTTTTAAAATATCTTTTTTTTTTAAATATTAAGTACACTAAACCATTCTAGGCCTAGAAGGGTGTTTTAGTTAAGTAGTCATGATAGCGGTTACTTGTATTACCTTTGGTGATGGGTATTGGTGCACTCATCAGGAATTCTTTATCAATGAAATCATTATTTTGACGTGAGTATGCAAATGTATATAAATTGTTTAAAATTAAAGAAGATTGAGTCATGGTTATTGTTGAATATAGAGGAAATAGGGTTTGAAATTAATCTCCCTTGGGTATAAATCACACATAGGGTAATCTATTTATAATAGAGAGGTACAACTAAAAGAATAACCGAAAGTAAACAGAATAAACAGAAGATATTGTTTGATATTGTGGTTAACAATATCTAACAATATCTAAATAATATCTAACACTCCCCCTCAAGCTGGAGCATACAAATCTTATGTGTCAAGCTTGTTACAAATATAATCAATTCTAGGCCCCCGTAAAGACTTAGTGAAAATATCTGCTAACTGATCACTTGAGTTAAAAAACTCAGTCTTGATATCTCCAGACATAATCTTTTCTCGAATGAAATGACAGTCAATCTCAATGTGTTTGGTCCTCTCATGAAAGACAGAATTAGAACTAATATGAAGAGCAGTTTGATTGTCACATACAAGTGTCATTTGAGTGACATCTCTAAATTGTAACTCTCTAAGCAATTGCTTGAGTCAAACAAGTTCACAGGCAGCTGAGACCATAACTCTATATTCTGCTTCTGCACTCGATCTTGCCACAACACTTTGTTTCTTACTTTTCCATGAGATCAAGTTACCACCAATGGAGACACAATATCTAGATGTAGATCTTCTATCTGAAGGAGATCCTGCTCAATCAGCATCTGAGTAGCATACAACTCTTGTATGGTTATTAGAATCATATAATAATCATTTTCCAGGAGATCCTTTAATATACTTTAAGATACGAATGACTGCATTCCAATGATCTTCACATGGTGAATTAAGAAATTGACTTACCACACTGACTGCAAAAGAAATGTCAGGACGAGTAACTGTAAGATAATTCAATTTTCCAACTAATCTTCTATACTGCTCAGGATCAGATATAGGTTCTCCCTGATTTGGTAGAAGTTTAGTATTGGGATCCATGGGTGTATCAACAGACTTTGAACTCATCAACCCAGTTTCCTCCAAAATATCTATGGCATACTTCCTTTGAGATATAACAATATCATCATTGGACTGTGTCACCTCAATACCCAAGAAATATCTAAGTTTGTCAAGATCTTTGGTCTGAAAATGGTGATAGAGATGTTGTTTAAACTGAGAGATATCATGGTTATCACTACCTGTAAGAATGATGTCATCAACATATATATATCAAGTAAACACATCTAGCACTCGAGTGTCGATAAAAGACAGAATGATCTGTTTCACACTGAGTCATATCAAATTGTTTAACAACCTTGCTAAACTTTCCAAACCAAGCCCTAGGAGACTGTTTTAAGCCATATAGGGATTTGCGAAGACGACATAACATCCCAGAAGACTCCCCCTGAGCAACAAACCCAGGAGGTTGCTCCATATATATTTCCTCTTGCAAATCACCATTGAGGAAAACATTTTTAACATCCAGTTGATAAAGTGGTCATTATTTAAATGTGGTCATGGCGATAAATAAATGAAAGAAGCCATATATGCCATAGGGGAAAAGGTATCTCCATAATCCAACCCACAAATTTGAGTATAACTTTTGGCCACAAGACGAGCTTTGAGGCGATCAATAGTACCATCAAGTCCAACTTTGATAGCAAACACCCACCTGCAACCAACAACAGATTTCTCAGGCGGTAACGGGACCAATTCCCAAGTTCCACTATTATGAAGAGCACTTAGTTCATCTAACATGGTCTGACGCCAACCAGGATGGGCTAAAGCTTCACGGACAGTTTTTGGAATGGTCACAGAAGAAATAGAGGAAATACATGTATAAAAAAGTAATAACAGTCGATGATAACTCAAAGCAATATAATGGGGAGAGGGATTACATGTAGAACGAATACCTTTTTGGAGGGCAATGGGAAGATCAGACTCATGTATCAGATCCGGAAGAGACAGAGTAGTTGGCACTTGAGTGGAGTCACATGGTGGTGGTTGTGATTGGTTTTGACATTTATAAATCTGAATAAGTAGTGGAGAAGAAGCTGTGAAGAAGACATAGTTAGAGGGTCACAAACAAAAGGAACATTAAATGTACTAGGAGTGTTGACAAGATTAGATGAAGACAAAGGTGAAGACTAACTTTTAAAATAAAGAGACAACTCATCAAAGGTGACATCTGCAGACACAAAATAACGATTAAGAGAAGGAGAAAAACATTTGTATCCTTTTTGTAATCTTGTAAACCCTAAAAAAACACATTTATGTGATCTGGGAGAAAGCTTGTCAAGACCAGAACTAAAATTATGAACAAAACATGTAGACCCGAAAACTCTACGAGGTAAAGGATGAAGTGGTTCATGAGGCGATAAAATGGAATGAGGTATTTTATTATCTAAAACTGAAGAAGACATGCAATTAATGAGATAACATGCAGTAAGAAGAGCATCACTTCAAAAATGTTAAGGAACATCTCCATGAATTAAAAGTGTGCGAGTTGTTTCAATAAGATGTCTAATTTTACGTTCAGCTACACCATTTTGTTGAGGTGTATAAGTACAAGAAGTTTGATGCAAAATACCGTAAGAAGTCATGAATTGTTTAAAAAAATGAGAAAGATATTCACGGTCATTATCACTACACAAAACTCTAATAGAAACATCGAACTGAGTTTGAATTTCATTAAAAAAAGTTTGAAAGATATGAAATAATTCAGAACGATTTTTCATCAAAAATAACCAAGTGCATATGGAATAATCATCAATGAAAGTAACAAAGTATTAAAAACCTAAAGTAGACTTAACGCGGCTAGGTCCCCAAATGTCAGAGTGAACCACAGCAAAAGGGGACGAAGCACCACGTGTGAAACTACGAGAAAAAGAAGTACGACTATGCTTGCCTAATTTACATGAATCACACGCCAAACTAGATAAGTTGGACAAGGCAGGGACAAGTTTTTGTAACTTGGCAAGACTTGGATGACCTAACTGAGCATGAAGAAGAGAGGGAAACTTCATAATTGTACTAACATGTGTAGAGGGACGGAGATAATAAAGACCATGAGACTCATATCTTGTGTCAATCACCTGTTTCGAACTCCAGTCCTGTAAACACACAGAATTGTTGGTAAAAGTAATAACACAATCAAAAGAACGAGTTAGACGACTAATGGACAACAAGTTAAAAGGAGACTCAGGGACATAATGAACATTATCAATGGTTAAAGAAGGAAAAAGTTTAATTGTTCCAACACCATGCGATGATACTCTAGAGTCATCAGTGTAACAAAAGGCAAATGATTAGAAGAGGATAAAGAGGAGAACAAAAATTTGTTACCAGTAATATGATCAGTGACTCCTGAATCAAAAATCCAAGGACCAGGAGAAAATGATTATGATTAGGTCAGACCAGCAAAATATGTATTTGTATGTGTGACAAATATAGTGTAATTTTAAATTAGTTATATTTGTATGATCTATATTAAAATTATATTTTTATATTGATAAATAATTTTGATAAGAAATTTCATATAGAATATCTATTGAATGTATTATAATATGTTGTATTTATAGACAACATATGAAAACCTACCTGGGAATTCTATTTTATTCAAGTTGAAAGTGTACATTGTTTTAATAATTAATGAGTAGTTGATCTTGTTAAAAGATGTTATCAATCCTTTCATTGTAATTTTACATTCATGTTAAATATTTAAGAAAATATCATGATGACAAGGATTACAAAACATAATAATTAAAGATTCAAGGGGTAAGGACTAGAGAGGAGTTTTTTTAGTAACATGTCATAAGCTAAATGGATAGTTAGCAGTTGTTTAAATACATGAGCTTGAGTATTGATCCTGTGAATGATGACTTTTTTTTTTTTTGGGAGTACAATTTTATTTAAGTGATTTTTACCACTAAACAATTCTTAATTTAATTTTGTGGGGAGCATAATTTTATTTAAGTGATTTTTACCACTAAACAATTCATAATTTAGTTTTAAGTTTGAAAGTACTTTTGTGATTCTAATGCATAGTTTCGAATTTCGATGCATAAATAAAGAAGAAGAAAAAAATTTATGTTTGGACTAAAATATATAAGGTTTAATTAAAAGGAAGTTTGTAACACTAATCTAAGTCTTACTTTTATGAAACCGAGTTTTTTAAAAATAAATTAATATGTAAAAATAATTTTGAAAATAATCAAATGAGTTTATTTTTTTACTACTTTAATCCAAATACCTACTTAATCCTGAATAATATATTTAGTGCAAACTAAAAAAAATGAAAAAAAAATTATGTAAGCTAAAAGGTAAAACATGGAGACATGGCAGGTTTTGATTAGGTTCTCAATCTTTACACACAAGTAAAATATACTCACTTAGCTTTAATTGTTTTAAAATAATTCCTTTCTCAAATATAAGTTATTTATAGTTACATTTTTTTCATTTTCATAAAGCTTTCTTCTAATTTAAATTAATTATATTAATTTATTCAAAAATTATATATTTTAGTTTAATTAAAGAATATGCATAATCTCAATAAATAATACTAATCACATTGAAAAACGAATACTAAATAATTTGTATACAAATATCCAATAAGATACATATTTTTAAGACTTTAAGATACATTTTTATTAAATATCCACCTGTCTATATAAAAGTATTTTATACTAACAATACACTTAAATTAAGTAGGGTAAATAAAAATTTTACACCAATTATTTATTTTCTTGAGGACTCGTAAGCAATAGAAACATTGAATACGAATTTACTTAATTATCCATGAAAACACACACATAGGAAGAAGAGAGAGTAAAAACCCTGAACGCATTTCCTTAACCCTCTTCCTCTGTTGGCAGCGTGCTACAGACCGGAGAGATTCCACATAGGAGCACTTCACTGCCGCCACCGCGAATTGCATTGCTGAGGTATGTCAAACAAATTATATAAAACCTTCGCATTCTTCAACGATTTAACGTTTATTCCATTTATCCCTCAACCTAATAACAACTACAATTCTTTTGACTCAAAGAAAGAGTGATAAATCACTCTGAATGGGTTACGTTCACTATGGAAGAAACGGTCTCCGCCACATTTTCAGATTCAAATCCACCACCGTCGTCGTCACAAACTCCGCCAGATCGCAACCGAGGTCACGCACTCCTTTTCTCGGAAACGTTCCTTTCTCCACCACTTCCAACGACAGAATCGTGCAGGACCTTCTGGCGGAGGTGGAGCGCGACAGACTCAGGGAGCGAAACGAGAGATTGAGACTCGGTTTGGACACCGCCGACATTGACGCGGAGTCCGAGCAAGACTACATGGGCGTGGGGCCCCTCATCGCGAAGCTTGAGAAGGAGAAGCTGAAGGACTCTGCGGACTTGTACCGCTACGAGGAGCCAACGGACTCCGATGACGACTCCGACGCAGAAACCAAGGACGAGGTCGACAAGCGCCACAGCGACTTCGAGCGCAAGTTTGAGCGCCATCAGGACCTCCTCAAGAGCTTCACCGACGCCCAAACCCTCGACGACGCCTTCAAGTGGATGACCAAAATTGACAAGTTCGAGCACAAACATTTTCGCCTCCTTCCGGAATATAGGGTTATCGGCGAGCTCGTGAACCGGCTCAAGGTGACGACGGAGCAGAAGGATAGGTTTGTTCTGCAGAATAAGCTTAATAGGGCGTTGAGGTTGGTACAGTGGAAGGAGGCTTTTGATCCTGATAACCCTGCCAATTATGGCGTGATTAAGAATGAGCAGCCGGATGCTGCGGCGGCGGATGCGGATGCGCGGGAAGACGCTGAGTTGGAGAAGGACAAGCTGATTGGGGAAGGGGATAATGCTGGTGATGATGATGAGGAGGAGTTTGATGACATGAAGGAGAAGGATAATATATTGCTGGCTAAACTTGAGGCTATTGATAGGAAGCTTGAGGAGAAGCTGGCGGAGCTTGAATATACGTTTGGGAGGAAGGGAAAGGCGCTGGAGGAAGAGATCAAGGATCTTGCTGAGGAAAGAAATGAATTGACTGAGCAGAAGAGAAAACCGCTTTACCGCAAGGTAGCTTTGTACTTGCATAATTCTCTGAAATTTAGTGTGTTTGGTAACATGTTGAGGTGTAAGAAATCATGTTTGGAGGTTGTTTCATACTTGCATCTTTAGTGTGCTTGGTACCTGTTGAGAAGTAAGAAATCATGTTTAGGATGTGAAAACTATATTTATTAGTTTAAAAGTAATAATGAAAAACCATTTCCTGGATGTGGAACCAAACTTACTATTTGGCTTGGTATTTTTTGTGAGTGCACCAAGGGTGAATACGCTCTTACTGAAATATTTCAGAGTAATTCACTAAAGGGGAGCGTAATTTTTAACCACTGTGCAAAACTTTTATCACTGCCCTGTGTTTTACTTATTAGCTCAATGACCTTTTTATTGCACTCCTTATAAAAAAGAAAAGTTATTTGTCTGTATGAAACAAATTTTTGAGGCACTTCCTACCTGCTCTTGATCAACTAAAAACAATTTCTTGGCCTGATGAATAAATTAGTTGAGTTGGTATGTTCGGTTTTGGAATCATTTCATGAAAGGAATTGGATGAGATGAATTGATAGTAAAATAAATTGATATTCCTGACTATCCAACTTAGTATGGATCTTCTGAGTTTGAAAAATGTGAGTGAGTTTTCAAGTCATTAAAAAACTGCTAAAGTAAAGAAACTTATATTAACTTTAACTAGCTAAATTCTATTTATTTAATTCCCTTTTCTCCCTCCTTAATAACATAACAAATGTCCTGTTTAAGAAGTAAGAGGTCAGTCTGTAGATGAGTCACATTATGCACTCATAGTGAGGCAACTGCCTGTTCAAATTTACTGATTTGTTTTATTTCCTCCAAATCTTATTGGTTTTGATTTCAATTTGTATGTATGTGGATGGCTTCTTTGGTTGTTCATGGAATTTGCTTCACTTTTGTCAAGCACAAATTAATATTTTGATATTTTTTAAAGACATTGCATTCTTGTAGTTTAATCTTTTTTTCAAGTTCTAATTGATTCTTATGTTGTGCACTTCCATTGCCCTGCTTGTTTATATATTTTTTGTTATTTCTCCCATGTTCTTGTTATGCTTTTAATAAAGCTGATGTATGGTTTGGTTTTTTGTATATACCAGGGTTTTGATACAAGATTGATAGACATGAACCGAACTTGTAAAGTCACCAAGGTAATTTATAATTTGTGCTTCCTGCTGCGCTTTCCCTTCTTTGTTTTCTGTATGTTCTTAATTGTGGTTTGAATCTTTTGATCCAGGGAGGACAAGTTGTGAAGTATACTGCTATGGTAGCTTGTGGAAACTATAATGGTGTAATTGGTTTTGCAAAAGCCAAAGGCCCTGCGGTCCCAGTTGCCCTCCAGAAGGTATTCACAGTATCTTACTAGGTCTTTCAAGTTCTCCTTAAAATGGTTGTCAGTGTTTTGTTTGTTTTCAATTGTCCCAGTTGTAGAAAAGTTTTTGCAATTTGACACTTGACATAGATATGTAAAGATATAAGTTTGCTTTTGTTTCAATTACTAGTAGCAGTTTCAAGCATATTGAAGATTTGATTTATGTCCTAAATCTTTCTTTATTGTTTTTGTTGACATTTATCCAGGCTGGGTGGTCAACATTGTGATGTTGAATTGACTTAAGTTTTGGTTAATCCTTGAGATATTTGGGTCATAATTAGTGGGAGGAGCTTGGATTGGTGACTGTGACTTATGTTTCAGTCATTAGAAATTTTCAATAGAAAACATTTGCAATGATTCCACAAACCTTGCATCTCTTATTCATCATCATATTTTGAAGTTTTCTGTGTGTTCAACCAACTTGATACTTATTTCATAACATATCTGCTCTGATTATTCTCTAGAAGAGTATCAATAATTTCCCTTTTTCATTAGATATTGCTCCTACGAGTTGCAGAAGGTGCATTAACTGGCTTTGTATTCAGATTATTGATATAGGGTTTGTTAATCCTTGAGATAGAAATGGGAATTGGTGACTTCTGTTCCGTCGCTAGAAATGTTCAGTAGAAACCATCTGCGTAATGATGCGACAACCCTTATATCTTATTCATCATAAGAATTTCTCTGAAATTTGCTGTGTTTTAACAAACTTGATACTAATTTCATAAATATCTGATTTGATAGTTGTAAAGCTTATCCAAAAGATTTTTTTTAATTCCAATTAAAAAAAAAAACTGGTTTTTGTATCATTCTAGTCTAACTGAAAACTAGATATTGGTCAACTGTTATTGTACATTCTCTAATAACTATGTAATAATTTTTTTTATTGGTTTCTTAAGTGTATTAACTTTACCAGGCTATAATCTGTATCCAATTTCGAATGCTTTAAATTTTGTATTTACACTATCCCTTTAAAACAATGCTAAAACAACAAGTTTCAGTATAAAATTATATTTATTTAATCACAATTAAAAAACTTGTGTTCATTATGTTTAATGCAGTTTAATATTTTAGACTTCTGAGAGCGTATTGAATTAATGTTTGATTTTGACTACAATCAGGCCTACGAGAAATGCTTTCAGAATTTGCATTATGTAGAGCGACATGAGGAGCATACAATTGCCCATGCAATCCAAACATCGTATAAAAAGACCAAGGTAGTGAATTTCTTATCCTTCTTCTAGTAGTACTTCCCCTATTTATGCCATGAAAGTCCATCTTCTATCAGAAAAATTTAAATGTTTTGTTTTAATTGTCTTCGATGAGTAGTGGCTGAGTTTATTTTGCCCGTATATATTAGATTAGATTCAGATTTCATGTCTTCTGCATTATTTCATAGGTATATCTCTGGCCTGCTCCAACTACAACTGGTATGAAAGCTGGTAGAACAGTTGAATCTATACTTCACTTGGCTGGTTTGAAGAATGTCAAATCGAAGGTAACTGATGTCTGGAAAATTTGAACATGGTCATGCAGTTTAGTGTTTACTTGCTCTAATATTAATTGTCTTGATAGGTTATTGGTTCCAGAAATTCTCATAATACAGTCAAGGCTCTCTTCAAAGCACTTAATGCGGTTAGTAAATTGTCCTACAGATGTTGCAATGCAAGTATTCCTAACAACTTTTCCCTGTGATATCTCATGTGGTATTTCTTTTTTGTTCCAGATTGAAACACCAAGGGATGTTCAAGAGAAGTTTGGCAGGACTGTGGTTGAGAAGTATCTGTTGTGATGGACATGGTCATGTGTTTGGTTGTCTTCCCTTGAATCTCTTAATTATACTTTTTATTCATGTGCATTTACCAAGAATGGAAGGGAGTTTTCCGAATGAATTGCTTGTGAACATTAGCTAAGGAATTTTGGCTGTAACTTTTCTATCGCAAAAGCAAAAGGAACATTAGTTTAGGAAATGTTCCTTTTGGTTTATGTTTGTTTATCCTCGCATTTTGAGGCATTCTACCCACACTTCTTTTAGCCGCATTCAATTTACCTCTCACCCTCCTTCAGAATGATAGTCAAAAGTGGGAACAATGATGTTTGGCAGAATACAAATGCTCCTTCAGATGTTTTTTTTTTTCTTTTTTTTTCGTTATTTCAGATTGTATAGTGTAAGGATGAAAAGTAGAAAATAAAAGAATTTATTGTTTGCTGTAGACTTTTAGTAGTAAAAACAGGGAAAAATAGAAGCGGCTAACCGATTTCTAAACTCAAACGATTTCGAAATTAGTGACAACAAAATAAATACCATTACAATAAATTTTGCAAAGATGTTTTTGTTAAACATATACGAGCTGAGAAGAAACGAAGAGAAATGAGAATACTTGAGTAAAATTGGATTAGTCTCCCACAGCCACTCCTGAATGAACCAGTTGGCTTCTTTCATAGTTTATCAACGGTGAATCCTCTGACTATTCCTGATCATGTTATTTTGACAAATTTAATTTTTTTTTTGGGAACGATCGATGGTATTTTCTTTTCTTTAATTTTTAGGGTAAGAACTACTATCCCATTGAATTATTTTAATTACAATCCCATTGTCTATTGATTTAATTTAATTCATAACAATCTCTCCTTATCATCAAATTATTATTTTACTTTAACTGAGTTAAAAAAATATTGTTTTTTTTATATAAAATAAGTCTAAAATGAAAACTATGTTATTGAAAACAAAATGTTTGTTAGATTTCTTTTTTCAATATAAGCTTTTATTCCAAAATTTTACTATATTCTTGCTCTCGTACATGTGATTTTTTTCAATGCGAATATTAGTTTACTCAACTACGGGCTAGGCTTAATTGTGGTGACATAATAGATCTTTCCCATATCTGAATTTCGAAATATTTGTTTTCAATTAAGTTTATATTTAAAACTTAATGCAGTATTATAACATGAGCGGGGATAGCTCAGTTGGGAGAGCGTCAGACTGAAGATCTGAAGGTCACGTGTTCGATCCACGTTCACCGCAATTTAATTTTAGTTTCTTGATTCTTATTTAGTTTTTTCATGTATTATTTGTCAAACTTTAAGTGCTATAGTAATCAATCATTGGTTTGCAATAGAGTGAGAGATGGTACGAAAAGCATGAATACTTTTTCTTTAAGTCTCTTGAGATCTTAGATTGATATGAAACAGAGTCAGAAATTGTACTAAAAGGAAAAACAACTGAAAAGAAAATTGGGTATAGATTGAGTGTGATGTGGATAGGAGTGAGGCAGCAATAGAAAGGTTATGATAATTATGAAGCAGGAGCAGTGTTCCCTGTTTCACTGGATTTTACTTTATCTCACTACTATTAGCCTCACATTATCATAATTTTGCTTACTGTACTCATCCAATACACAATTGTCACCACACGAAATATATTTTTTTCATACAGAGAATATAAGAATGTTTTTTTTTTTTCCTGAGATGTACTTTCAAGAAAATAATAACTATATAATTTTAGATATTTGATTAATTCAATTTTACAAAATTAATTTATAAAATGATATCAGTTGTTATTCATATACTTTAATTTAATAATATAATATATGTCTCCAACATAAAAATATTTATATAACTAGATATTTATGGGTAGTAGAATAATATAATTAACTTAATAGCATGTGATTTTTCAAACTTAATAATTGTTTAGTATATGCTTTATTATCATCTTAAAATTTAGGTTTGTATTTAATTCAACTACGTAAACCCAATTAATAGATGAAAGTTTTTCTTTTAAAATATTTTAATTTAATCATTTCATTAGTTCATATAATATTTCTACCAACAATTTTATTCCAACCACATAGAATTGTTAAGCCAAACTCTCCTTTCCAGTCTATCTTTCTTTTCTGTTTTTTTCTTTATCTTATTTATTTCCTCAAAACTCAAATATTCATATTTTAATTTTTCTTCTTCGCTACGAAACATGCCAAAAGAGAAGATAAATGGTCAATGTTTTTTTCGTTTAACTTTTTGTTCTGTGTCCATCTTGACCATAAATTTCAAACGCTAGAAAAAAAAAAGAGAGAGTAAGAATTGCAAACAATGATATTGATAGTAAGTTAAATTGCAAATACACATTTATTTGCTCATCCATATTTTTCACTTTAATCTCTTCCTTTCGTTTTCATCTTCATTATTTTTTTCTTTTTATTTAATCGTATAGTAATTTATTCTACTATTAGATTACAATAAATGGAATAATCAGAATAAGTAAAGGAATTTAATTATATACTTTTTAATTGTGTTTTTAACATTTTTGTTCCTAATATTATATAATTTTGTTTATATTCTAAAAGTGGTATCTAATTTACTGTTTGAAACATGATCTAAAATACTTTCTGAACCCAGATTAAAATGAAAAATTATTAGGAAAAAAAAACAAAGAAAACTATTAAAGGTTAAAAACAAATTGATAATTTATTAGAACCAAAAACTATTTATATATTAAGCTAATAAATATTTAAGTTGTTTAATAATGATTAATATATATTTGATTTGTGAAAAGAAAATGATTGATGATAGGTTAACATGGTTGGAACTAATGTTTTGAGGTAGTCAATTTAGTAGGTTAAGTGGTGACTGAGTTGTCCCTGTAAGTGACATGGGTTGGCATGTGAAAGCCACCTTTGTGGCATCTCTAATTTCATTTCAATTTGTATTTAATGCATAAACCAACCATTTTCACCACATTTTAATCATTAACACCTTCTCTAATATTTTCATTACCAACTCAACTAATTCTAAACAATTCAATTAATTTTTACTTTAATAAGAGTTTCTATTAACTAGTTCCCCAACTCATAAATATTCCCTTTCTCTTTTTAGCATTTCGTATTCTTTCTCCTGTATATTTATTAGTTAATACTGATGCTAAACAACTTTTTCTATAAACATTATCTCATTATTGTCTTCTCCTTTTAACATCTAATATTTTATCTCCTATGTTTAATAATTTAAACAAATGTTAAACAATTTATAAGAAATAATGACAAAAAAATTATACCATTCATGGTAACTTCGATTTATGCTCTAACTTAGTATAACATGTTAACATGTTAAAGAAAAATTGATTTTATTTGTTCTTTAAGATTAAATAATATACCATTTGCATATTTTTGGAAATCTAACATTGTATTTTATATTATATAATATAATTTAAATATATTTTTTTTGTTATTTTTCGTTTTGTTAATTAATTTTATATTATCAGAACTAAAATTCAATTTGTTTCTAATTCTTATTTTTAATTAAGAATTATCCTTTAAATTTAAGATGAATTGAAAGTTTACATCGTCTATTTTATATAGTAATATTTTAACATCTACTTAAAAAAAATACATTTAATATACAACCCTATTTATAAATATTATATTTAAAAATTATTACTTTATTAATAAAATAAGTTGTTAATGGGTTGTATGAAAAATTTGGATTATCATTGAATTTTTTTCCTTGAAATCTTAACCATGATAAAAATCTACAATTAATTCCATCCAATAAAATCATGACAAAATTGATTTTTACAAAACAAAATACAAGGAAAAAGCTAATGACTTTTGTAACAATTAAACATAGGGTGTTTAAAAAAAAAAAAAAAAAGAGAGTTGAAATTTTCCGAGGTTATTTTTCCAAATAAATAATAATAATAATAACAAAAAAAGGTTTAGGATTAGAAGATTTGGGAAGGTGAATAAGAGGTGATTTAGTTTGACAAACATTCGAGGGAAAACCAATCATTTGATGGAAGCCTAATCATAGATTTGGACTATTGATGGATGACCTTTTGGTTGACTAATCATTTCATTCCTCACCCTCTCTCACTTGATGCTGACTCTTTCCAATCACCATTCTTTCTCTCTCTCTCTCTCTCTCTCTCTCTCTCTCTCTCTCTCTCTCTCTCTCTCTCTCCATTCATATCGCTTCATTTTTAAACAACAATAAAGTGCTTCTTTGTTTCACAGTCCATTTAGTTCATGGAAGCAAAGAAAGATAAATTCCTTCGTTTCAGTTTATTTAAGAGAAGCAAAGGAAAGAGAACAAAAGGTATGCATAATTGTTTCCCAGGGAAGGAAACACCTATCATCATCATCATCATCTATAAATATTATAAAATATTATAACGAACACATCGAAGAAGTGACAAGTTTTTTAAATAATTTAGTTTCCACAATTTCAAAAATATATGTTGGTCTATTCTCCTTCCAAATTTGTGAGAAAAATTGAATTTGATAAAATTATTTTTTTTTATGTTATTTAATGCGATGAATCTTATATTTCAAATTGCTTTTATTCATAAATCTTACTTTAGAATGTGTCTTTGGTAAGATCAGAGCTATGAAAATCAAAGAAAATTATATGGTCCATAGAGCAAAATCTGGTGCAAGACGTATTCATCAAAACCATTAGGATCATCAATAATTTGAAGTTTTGGACCACAAACAATTAAGTCCTTTTAACCCTTGAAAAACCACTATGGTCCTCAATTCTCATTAAACTGATAAAACTTCCATGTGCACCATGTGTATGTACATTTTGAATTGCCCTATCGTGCTTCTCGATGCAATATACCCCTCAACAGGACCATCTTATTGTGTTGGTTTTAATATATAAAACTTAGTTCAATTAATCTAAACAATATTTGAAATTTGAAATTTTTATATAATTAGAAAAATTCTATCAAAAATAGGTCATCCAAATTTTTGTGATCGAAATATAATTAATAAAATAGAATAATATTTCATACCA